GCACATTCTGGGGGGGGGGCTCTCGAACTGGAGCAGATCCTGGTGGCCAGGGCATCCTAAACGCCTGCGCACTAGGGTTCCCGGGGCGGACATACACACTCTCACGCCCTGCTCTTGCGAGAGCCCCAACTGAAACGGTCGATCCTGCGGCCGCTGACCGCCTGAGACAACACTGATAACGCAGGCCTTTTCGTGGGACTTGAGCGAGGCCATGCCCGCGCGGATGGGCGCTAAAACAGGCCCCTTTTGAGCCTGGGAGCCTGCAGGTAATCAACCACGCGCTCCCAGAGCCAGGAATCAGCATTAGCCCCAAGCGCTTGTTGTGTTTTTTCCCACAGCGCGAGGGCACCAGTCGCGCGTGCCGAAAGTGTCGACTGACGGATGCGTCCATGACAATCCGCCCATGACTATGCCAAGACGGAGCGCGGTGGCCACAGCCGCAGTGAAAGGGCATCCAGTTGCTTGCCACAGCGACCCGTGGCTTGAAAACCTCTGCCACGCTCCTGCTAAACCTCGCACGACAACCCCACGGGGAACCCACCCGCCCCAGAGAAGCATAGCGACGGAGAAAGGGGAACGACGTTGAGATTGCACGCAGGATCTATGCGTGGCAGAGGAGAGAGCTGCAACATGAGAGTGACCGATCTGCCTGACAACTTCTGCGTCTGCACCGACGCTTGCTGAGAACGAGCTCCCTTGAGCTCACGGCCGCTGCTGCCCATCGCCCCCGACCCGTACGAAACGGAGGCCTGAATGGCAGCGCGCACCATGCAATGAACTCTCCTGTGGTGCAGCTTGCCGGTTAAACTGAGAAGCTTGCTGTGTCCGACTCGGGCGGCTGTCCGCCTGGCGCGCTTAGCGAAACGCTTGATGACTCCGTCTGCTGCATAATAGATGCCTAAATTGCGTTCTGACTGGACCGCGAGCACCTTCTCCCGACGCAAGTCCCGAGCAATGCCTTCGCGGAAGCGAGGGCAGGCAACAAGCAGACGAGACTTGGCCTTGCTGACGGGCAGATGCCACCTAGCTCTTTGCGAAATAAACCCGCAGCGCTGACCAGCCATTCGCGCACCTGCTCGGGATAACCAACCTTGTGCAGCCCCGTGTCGTCCACCGCCGCCCCAATCTGAACCCCCCGAGCAGCGCGCAGAGGAAAGGCGGCCCGCACGGCACCCAGCGGCGTCAAAAGCATGAGCTGCAGGATGAGCGCGGCAAAATGGCAGCCAGGCGGCACTGTCTTCTGCGTGCACAGCGGGCTGGAGGCGACCCCAGCGTGATCGAGGACACGCGGAGCCCGATACAGCTCGATGAGCAAACGCAGCTGCCTGATTGGGGAATGCGTGTTCTGAGCTGCTTGAAGCAGCCCTCCATGTCGAACGTTCTCAAAAGCTTTGTGCACGTGTAGAAGCACTGTGCCTGCTTGCGTGCATCGACCTTGGGCCTATTCGGCGAAGGCACTTTGAACCCACACGAGCCGATCCGAACCCCTCCTCCGAGTCGACCACCAGAACTCACGAAAGTTCTCTTCTTGCCAACGCCAAATGAGCGGTCTCCTTAAACGGCCTTGCACTCTGGAGGTGACGTGCATGAGAGCTATGGGTCGCAGCCCTCCTGTTCTCTTGAGTATAAAAATGACCTTGGTCCACAGCCCTGGCCAGACCAAACTGCTCTCGATGGTGAAATTCAGTTGCCTGAAACACTCAAGTGCTTCATCTGGCAGCTCGAGAGGCTGCCGCGGCGAAATCTGGTCGTGGCCTGCGCCGCTGCAGGCCTTGAAACTACGAAGCACCTTCTTGAGCTGGTCCAGACTAAAGGGCGGGAGCTCTGGCCCCATGTCTGAGGGCCAGAGGAGCGTATCTTGCAGGCTGCCGACTTCCCAGTACGAACCCCATTCTTGAAGCAAAAGCTCCATATCCTGCTCCTGGCTCGCAGGGGCCATACGTGGGGAACCTGTCGGCGCCAAACTACTGCTGTACCACTGTGTGGCTGGCTTGGACATCTGATAGAGGGCTCCTCCCCCCGGATTGGTGCGCGACTTGACCCAGCTTCTCCAGCTGGAGTTTCTCTGATGCTCAGCAGCTCTCTGAGCTCTGCCCGCTTGCTGTCTGGCCTGCGCGGCAAGAGCCGAGGAGAGGTCACCCGAGAGCGAGGACGCCACTTCCAGCAAAAGCACCCAGGGCGGGACGCTGGCATCGGTTAGTCTCCCTCCTTGGACCGCAAGCTTGTTGCACAGGGCCAGTGAAGCCCGCCTCTGCGCGGCAGACTGCTGCATACCTAGCTCAGCAAAATCTTGCACCACTAGTCGCCAACTGGTGGCAAGAGGGGATATGCGTGGAAAACGCAGCGCTGAGGGCCTCTTGGCCTGCTGACGCTGGCGAACGAGTGGCGTGCCTCCTCCTCCTCCTCCTCCTCCTCCTCCTCCTCCTCCTCCTCCTCCCCCTCCTCCTCCTCCTCCTCATCCTCCTCCCCCTCCTCCTCCCCCTCCTCCTCCCCCTCCCCCTCCCCCTCCTCCTCCCCCCATCTGCCTGTTACTGTCGAAGCAACACCAGGTCTTCAGACCCAACCAAAAAGAAACAACACGCTGACGGGATCCCAGCGGCGGCGTCCCCTGGCCTTTTCTCTCCTCCCCAGGACGAGAGCGCCCGAATGCCCCGAGCCTCGGACGGCCGGCAACCACAAAATCGCCAAGCCCAGCCTCCGCGAGAGCGCAGCGAGGGGGCCGCCCTGGCCAAGCGCCCAACGACCACGGCGGCGGCGGTGGCGGCCATCGCGGCAGCGGCCCCCGCGCGCGGCCTGGGACAGGCGCGCCAGCGCGGCGCGGCAGCACTCCTCGCGGCCGCGTACCCGCCGCCACGACGGTCGCGGCCGTCGCCGTCTTCTCCGTCTCCGCCGCCGCCGCCATCGGTCACCTGCACCGCCGCCGGCGTGGTTTTCCGCCTCGGCGCCGTCGTTGTAGGAGGAGGAGGAGGAGGAGGAGGAGGAGGAGGAGGAGGAGGAGGAGGAGGGAGAGGAGGAGGAGGAGGAGGAGGAGGAGGAGGAGGAGGAGGAGGAGGAGGAGGAGGAGGAGGAGGAGGAGGAGGAGGAGGAGGAGGAGAGGAGGAGGAGGAGGAGCGAACGAACCCCTGGGAGAGGCGCGTCGATCTATAATGGGCGCGCACCGCCGTGCGCGCTCGGGCCAAGCCTCAGGGCGAGCCGCGAGGCCTGCATGTAGTTCTTGTGGTTGATGTAGGAGTTGTCGACGTTGTTGTCGATCTTGATCGAGTGGTAAAATCTGTAGACCACTGCAAGACGCACGAGCACGTGGTCAATCTTGTCGTCGTCGGCCCCGAGCGGGTCGAAGTTGATGTCATGCAGGCCTAGCCTGGCGAGTACACATTTGTGAAGTCGCCCGCGTGGCAGTGCAGCATGGTGCCACAGGCGCTTGCAGACCAAGTAGTGACTGAAGGCGTCGGGGTGAAACTTTGGGTTGCAACCAAGAACGCAACCACGAAGGCCAGGTTGAACATGCATGCGGTATGACGTGGCCCACCCGCCCGAAAGCGTCTTCATCACAGGCCAGAAGCGCGAAGGCGGCAACTCGGCGATCTTCGGGCGGATGCGGTTCCACGCGGGCTTCATGTTGTAAGGTAACTGGATGACGGAGGTCAAATCGTTGTCGTCCGCGTACGCGTTGGTGAGGTCGTCGGTGATCAATGGAGTGGAGTCCGACTCATTGTTCTGGAAATCGGCGTCGTGGATCCAGCGGCGTCGAGCGTGGTGTTCATTGGCTGCACGTTCGAACCTCTGCTGTAATTCGGCGGTACGGGGAGGATTGAACGCGGCGGAGGTCTGAAGTCTGGAAGCCGATGTTGATTGCCATGCCTGCGTACAGATACGTTCAGCACGCCTGCGGAGCTGAGCGTCAGTTTGGCCACGGAAGAGGACACGAAGACCGTCACGACGAAGTAGACGAAGAATAAAGGTTTCGCACCATTCATGCCAATCGTCGACGTCCCATTCATGTAGTGGTTGAGCGAGGTAAATCGAGGGAGGCCAATCGGAGGCCCAGTGCTGCAGGCATTCCGCGACGGTCTCGAGCTCGTTGGCGGCGTTGCGCATGTCGTGGTCGTCATCATCAGGCGTGCTGGGTACTTGTGGATGAATTGGTGGAAATCGTTGGAGGCGTAGTGAATCGGAGTTGGCAGCATGCGGCGCGGACGGGAGGGTGGGGAACCAGGCCCGAAGGCGGGCGGCGATGGTGGCGTCGAAGGAGTCTTCGTAGAGCACGCGCTGCAACGTGATCATGTAAGTAGTCTGCGGTGACCTCTTTGGAGGATCATCGTCAGCACGGCGAAGTTTGCCCAAGACCCGAAGAGCAGCCGCACGGGCGAGTTCATGAGAGGAGGAGGAGGAGGAGGAGGAGGAGGAGGAGGAGGAGGAGGAGGAGGAGCAGGAGGAGGAGGAGGAGGAGGAGGAGCAGGAGGAGGAGGAGGAGGAGGAGGAGGAGGGAGGAGGAGCAGAATGGCGCCGACGAGGGGGCAGGAGCAGATGACGGGAGATGACGGCGAAAGGCATCCGACGGTGGCCCGACAGACGCTAGCGTTGCCCGGACGGGCGGCCTCAGATGGGCATCGGGTCGTTGAGGACGCCGACCTGCACGGCGCGTGCCGCATCGCTCGGCCCAGGATGGCCAGAGCGGCATCAGGCCGCGGCCTCGGCGGCCCGCCTTGACGGGGGCACCCCCCAGCAGTCCTCGCAGGCGGCGGGGGCCTGGGCGCCAGCAGGCCGCCTCCTCACCCGCGCACCGCCTGCAAGCCAGCACGACACCACCAGGGCATGCCGACCGTCGGCCGATCAGACACAAGCCGACAGTGCCGCGGCCAAACGCCCTCAGCACATCGCTCCTGAAGAACGACTCGCATATGCCAAACACGACGAGGAACACCCTCCGACTGGCGGACTCCGCCCCTACAGGCGGCACGCTTTCAGGGCATACGCGAGACCATGCCCCGACCCACGCTTCAGCCAGCAGCTCCACGCCAGGCAATGGCATCTCCGCTCTTCAGGTGCCTGCCTGCCTCAAACCTCCGACGCCTCGACCTCAGGTTGGACAGGGAGGTACGCGCATCACGTCCCTCTCCAGTGGGCAAGCCGCGGCACGGCTCCTGCAGCGCTCTCGGCGTGCCGCTGCCCGACCAGGCGACGCACACCTGGCAGAAGTTGGTGGGGCCAGCCATGCGAAAGCGGTGGCCCTGCACGCCCACCGCCGTGTCGCCTAGACCCAGAGCGTCGACCTCGGTCAGGTCGCCTGGGTCCAGCGGCAACTGGGACGCGTCCAGCGCAGCCATGGCGAACGAGCCCTCCCCGGACGCCTGGACCCAGGTCGCCCCCACGTGCTCGATGATGGCGTCCGCCTTGAGCTTCGCCACCTCGCTCTCGCCGCATGGAGAGCGCAAGTACTGCGACCACGGCGGGCCTCGAGTGGCCACAGTGGATATCTGCAGCACCGCCGACACAACGCGACCCTGCCGCCACGCAGGAGGACCAGGTGGTGCCGCACCACCGCCACGGGCGGCGCGCGCGGTGGCCCCTTGCGGGGCCGCACTGCCGAGCCCGTCACCTGCCAGCTCGGGATCTTCAGCATGCGCGGCAAGGCCCTCGCGATGTAGGCCGCGACCTGCTTGTGGTACTCGGTCTCGACCCCGTAGAAGTCAGCGTAGCCCTGCGAGACCGCGTGGGCCATGGCCCCCTCCTTCGCGAAGAAGTCCGCCCACACGTTCCCCACGAGGAGGAGGAGGTGCAGCCCGCGCTCCTGGAACTGCCTGAGCTCAGTGCGCGCGGGGATCCAGCGCACCGCAGGGCGCGCAGGCTGCGCGCGCAGGCGCCGCCAGACCGCGGCGCGCCAGCCTGCTCGAGCGCCGCGCCCCAGGAGGTCGCCTCCCCGGCGAGCCCCAGCAGGTCCGTGAAGACGGCGTCGACGGCGGGCCCGCCGCGCTGCGGCGAGAGGACCAGCAGCGCCTGCAGCAGGGCGTGCCTCTCCGCGCGCCCCACCGTCTGGAAGGGGCCAGGCAGCGGCCCATACGCGGCACGCGCAGGCAGGCCCTGCGACGAGACCTGCACCGCTGCCCAGCCACATCGCCGCAGCTCGAGCATCGACGAGGCCAGACCCGAGCCGCCTGTGAAGACGACGTTGCCCTCGGTCGTGCCAGGGTCGTCGCTCCAGTCGCCCCAGAAGTACACTTTCGCGTTGCGCTCCGCAGGCGGCACACTAGGTGGCACGCGTGGGAGGCAGGTCGACACCGCGAACTCGTCCCACGCCTGCGGCCCACCGCCCATATTGAGGCCCTGGTCGCGCATCAAGGTCCAGGCCACGTTGTGCCTCTCGGGGAGCACCTCACCCTTCTCCTCGCCCAGGAACGCTGGCTCCAGGAGCGTCTCGCAGCCGAAGAAGCGGTGCCCAAGGGTGTCCGACTCCGCCCCGCATGCGGCGCACTCGGACGAGGTGGCCAGCTTAGCATCGAACTGCGCCTGCCTGGTCCAAGGCACCCCTACCCAGTGGACGCGCAAGCTCATGGCCCCTGGGCCTTCAGTGACCGCGGCCTTGGGTCCGCCAGCGCAGCGCCTCATCGCCCTCACCCACAGCTTGGCCTCCTGGTCGCACTGCGGGTAGTGCTGGAGGGTCTGCCGCCTTTGCCACCGCTCGATGCCCATGGCTAGGTGCATCCTGACGTCCTTGGGCGACTCCGTCAAGAGCTTGACGTGATTCTCCTCGTCCGTGACAAGCACCGTGGACGAGTACATGAACCAGCCAATGCGCCACAGCGTGAGGATCGTGGACGCGATGGGCCCGCGTGCCTGCGTCCAGCAGGGGCTCGGGCCAAGCGTGGTGCAGGCACGCTAGCGAGGTGCGCTGCTCCCACACCCAGCTAGCGTAGCGGCAGACCAGGTCACAGGTCGCTGCGTAGATGGGATCGAACTCCTTGGCTCGCTGCGTCGCCAGGAAGACCGTGACGTTCGAGGGCCCCTGCCTGGCCCCGACCAGAGGGAGCGAGGGAGGAGCGAGGGACGAGCGAGGGAGGATGAGGAGGAGGAAAAGGAGGAGGAGGAGGAGGAGGAGGAGGAGGAGGAGGAGGAGGAGGGGGAGGAGGGGGAAGAAACGGAGGACCGAAGGGGGATGCCGAGGAGGAGGAGGAGGAGGAGGAGGTGGAGGAGGAGGAGAAGGAGGGCAACGACGGATCACGAGGAGGGTGGGAACGACGGATCACGAGGAGGAGGGGGGGAAGAGAAAGAGCGACAGCGACGAGGTGGATAAGAACTGGGAAACATTCAGGAGGGTGGGTGTGCCTGGCTGGCCGGGCTTCCGAACACCACGCGGGAAAACCACGCTGCGTAAAAAAACACACACACACACAGTACTCCACTTGGCCCCTAGGCCCTAGGTGTAATGTAGCAGCACAAATACGGCGGGAGCAAAAAACAGACCGCTGCTCCACGGACCTCTCCTGGGGTGCGTTCTGACCC